CTTTGTTTGCCTAAGTCTGCTTTTTCTATATCAATTAAATTATAACAAATGTGGCTAAAGAGAAATATCACAGTAAGTGGCTAAACTAGAAATCAGACCTGTTTGTCTGACTTTAAGGCTCTTGCTCTTTGCAGATACTATCCCTTTGTTATGAACTAATTTGAAGATAGAATTTCTTGTGAATGACATATATTTTAATCTTTCCATCTTTCACTTTTACTCTTGCCAGGCCTTTTTGGGTTTCTATTGAACTTTTGTCTTTATAAAAGTGATATATGCTCCGTATACATTTTAAACATACCGAAAAGTATAAAGATGAAGAAACAAATCTAAAATCTCACCAACATAGGTATTCTTGATATTTGATATTTTATAATGCAGTTTTTACGTAATTGAAATCACAGGGTATAATTTTGAACCTTGAATTTTCACCAGACATTATAATATAAACTTTTTTTTATATGATTGGCAAAATATATTACTTGATATGTGTATAGCATAATGTATCATAATTAAAGGGATTATTCCCTTTTGGACATGTAGCTGCTTTTACTTTTTTCCCTTTGTAAATGTCATTGAGATGAACATTATTGTACATACCCAGTCAAGATGTTGCCTGATTTCTCCACTAACCACATGCGTGCACACACGTTCCTTCCTGCCCAACACTAGGATGTATATGGGCACACACACGTTCCTTCCTGCCCAACACTAGTATAGTCAACTATTGTGTTCATGAGTTACTCAGTATTTTTGAAGTATGATTAGGTTCATTTGTTTCAGTTTGCTTTCAGTTTTAGGTTTCTTTTTCAGTCTCAGTTTCCTCATTCTATTTTACTTTTTACATATGTAGACTATTAACATGCTTTCCAAAGTCAAAACTGTTCAGAGCCAACCCCTCCTCTTGTGTACTTTATCTCCTGTCTCCTAATCAAGGATTCTCTGTCCTTCCAGTACGCTCAGTACTAGCTTTCATTTTTCTGCATCATTGTTGTCAGCATACAAGCCCACTGACTTCTCACCTTAGAACAAAACCAAACCTGATTTCTCTCCTACCTCATTGGCCCTTCTTCTTAATCCCCTCATTGGTTTCTTTTACATTGCCTTGGCCTCTTAATGGTCCCTGACCAGTCTTTGAGCCATTTCATTTTCTGTCTCCATCTTGCAACCATAAATACCATCTATAACATTGGTGACTACAAAATTCAAATCTGTAGCTACTGAGTGAGATTTGAATACCCAACTACTAACCTTTCAAAGCCTAAATTCTGTTCCTTAGTCTCAATTTATTTCTCCCTCTATCTCCTTACCTACTAAATGGCAATTCTATTCTTCCATCTACTTAGACCAAAAACCTTGGAGTCATCCTTGAATTCAGTCTATACAATCAGACCCTGTTGGCTTTACCTTCAGAATCTATCTAAACTGTTCCCTTCTCATCACTTCATACTCTTCCATTTTGATCCAAGGCAGCATCTTCTCTTACCTGCCTTAATCGCAGTAGTCTCCTGTTTGGGCTTCCTGCTTCTGCCAATGTCTTCCTGTTATGTATTCTCAATAAAGTGATCCTTTAAAAATGAAAGCATCCTGTTCTAGTCAAAACCATCTGTAGACACTTTCATTTTTACTCAATAAAAGCCAGAGTCCTTAGGGTAGCTTAAAAGATCCTGCATGACCCGACCTCTTTTATTTCTCTCACCTCATCTCCTTTTATTCTTGCTCATGTTCATTTCCTCCAGTCACATTATCCTTCTTGCTGTTCCTCACACATGCCACGCAGGGTCCCACCTCAGGTTTTTGTCCTTGCTTTTCCTCTGCCTAGAACATTCTTCCTCACGTTGCTAGCTCCTTCACTTCCTTCAGATCTTTGCCCAAATGTCAAATTTTCAGTGAGGCTTTTCCTGCCCACCCTTAAAAAAAAAAGTTCCACTTTTTATACCTCCTGTCTTACTATTTTGCTTTTTTCCCCCTTTCCCCCTCCATAGATACCAAAACCTGGCTTACTATATATTTTACTTATTTTTTAATTCTCTGCATCCCCCTCCCCCCCCGCATTAAGCTTCATAAATGCAGATATTTTTATCTTGTTCATTGTCAAATTCCCAGTGACTTTTACATTATAGGAACAGTAACAACTCACTTAATAGTGGTATGTTCTTGGGAGTGTGGTGAAAGGATTTATGGTGAAACCAGTTTTTCCATAGGCTAATTGATATAAACAAGAGTTAAGTTACTGTGGTATCTCACCAATGTCTAACAAAATGACATTATTTGAGGATCTGCTATATCAATTAAAGTTTATTGAATGAAAGAGTTAATGAACAAAATGGTCAGGGCTTTGGATGATTGGTCCCCTCTTTGTCCTTCCAGATTTGTCTTTTACTGTCCTGGCCCTCTTGCTGTGTTCCAGATGCTGATCTTTTTTTTTAGTTCTGTTTTATACCACGCTTCCTCCTGCCTCAGGACCTTTATATGCTTTTTTCCTCTGTTTGGAAAACCCTTTCTCTCCCTGCCACCCTTTCCTTCTGTAGTTAGTGTCTGCTTATCCATTAGATATCAGCTCAAAAGTCCTTGTTTCAAAGCAGCTCTGGATTAAGACCCCCTACTGTATGCTCTCTCAGTCCTGCTATTTGATCTTCTGTCTCACCAAGTAAACTGAAACTTGCACAAAAGTAGGAACCTTGAGTGTACTGCTTGCTTGCCACTGTATGTGTCTGAATAGTGAATCCTCATTAAATACTTAGTGAATGCTCCCTTCTAACTCTAATGTTTTGCCTTGAGGAAGGGGTAGGTCGTTCCTGTATAATTAGGAATGGTGGGCTATCAGCAAACTTCATAGTATTAAACTAAACATGATTAGTAGCTAAGTATTATATAACCCAGCATTATTGGTTAAATATGAACTTTGTGTTTCTCAGTTGATATTCTGTGAGAAGATATGAATAAAGATAAAATACGGCTCAAGAAATTCTGGTTTAGAGTCAGTGGAGAAGCATGTGTATATTGATTGATGATTCTTGTTGATGTGTAGGGCATGTAAAAACCTAGTACATTTTGCTAGTTTAATTTCAGAAAAAGATAGAAGACTGGCTAATAACTCTTGTTAGCCAGTAAATTTTGTCAGTTTCACTTTTGAAAAGTAACTGCTGTGTGAAGTTAGGAATTTTACATTTTTTAGGGTTTTAAGGATTAAATAATGTATGTGTAAGTACTTTAAAGTGTGTAATTGTTATCATTATTAGTTATGACATTAGGGAAATAAGTTACTCATTATGTTTACTCATGTAAAAAGTGGGGATAAAAATAGTGTTGACCCTAATGAGTTATTTTGGGAATTAGATGAGATAGTAATGCATTCCTGCAAAGAGCCTGGTATTCAGTAAACCCGAGTCTCACATAGAGCACACCAACATGATTTGCTAAAAAGAGTTGCATAATCCCCTGTCTCAGAGACCTTTTAGAACAAAATATGTGTACTATAATTTATTCCTAGAATGATCTGGGTCAGTTTCTAAAGCTGGGAATCACTGGATGATTCTGAAAGTAGTTAGAGTGGGCCTTGAAACGCCAAAATTACAGATTTGATCCCCGGTCAGGGCACATAAAAACTAACCAATGGCCCTAGCCGGTTTGGCTCAGTGGTTAGAGCATTGGCCCGAAGATTGAAGGGTCCGGGGTTTGATTCTGGCCAAGGGCACATACCTCCGTTGCAGGCTGGATCCCGGGGGGGCGGGGAGGCAACCAATAGATGTGCCTGTCTCACACTGATCTCTCTCTCTCTCTCTCTCTCTTTCTCTCTCTCTCCCCTCCCTTCTACTCCCTGAAAAGCAATGGAAAAAATGTCCACTGGTGAGGATTTTTTTAAAAAAATTAAAAAAGAACCAATGAATGCATAAATAAGTGGAACAGCAAATCAATGTTTCCCACCCTTGCTCTCTCTTAAATTAAATAAATAAATAAATAAATAAATAAATAAATAAATAAATGGAGTGCTAATGTGGACTTACTCATACTCGCTTGCTCTGAGCTCTAGCACTGGGGCAGCAGTCCAAAGGCACCAGGGACATTGTCCAACGAGGGCAGGAGGGGCAGCTTTCCCCCAGACAGAAGTGCTGACAGAGGTCATTGTTTCTTTGCTGAGCTGTCCCCCAACAGAGCCAGCAGACAGGCGCCGTATCTGAGTCTCCATCAACCTGGGCAACACTGTTCTCCCACCCCACCCAACTTGCAGGCCTGCCCAAGCCGTTTCCAGTGGATTTTCTGTACAAGTGACCTAAGTCTTGTAAAGTACTGCATAGGAAATATAGTCAGTAATTTTTTAAAAGCTATGTATGGTGTCAGATAGGTACTAGATTTATCAGGGTGATCACTTCATAAGTTATATAAATGTCTAGTCGCTGGGTTGCACACCTGAAACTAATATAATACAGTGTATGAACTGTAATTGAAAATAAAAAATTATTTTAAAAATTAAAAATGTAAAAAAAGAAAAAAAAAGGAGTGCTACTCTACTGATCATCATTTTGGGATGGTGAATGGCGGTGACTACTGCTGCTGCTGCTACTTTTAAAGGTTCCTCTTTTTCCCACCTTCCTTGTAGGTTGGTTAGTAGAATAGGAATATTCCCTCCTGTGATGTAGTCTGTAACAAAGTAAACAAAATGTGATATGCACTGCCTTTCATAGTGCCTGGGAAATAGTGGATACTCACTAGATACTCATAAATTTGCAAGGCAGTGAGAACCAGAGCTTGATTACATGTGGGAATATGATTTAAATGTGTGACAGAAACACTGTAGGCTTTCTGTGAGAGAGCTATGGACAGGAGAGATGAAAACAACAAGTAATAAAACCGTGTTACAAGTGGATTCAAGTAGAGCCTGTCACGGCAGTTTTGGGTTTCTTAGTACTGCTGTTACATTTTTAATGCTTTGTATATTTGCAAGAGTGACTCTACTGTAACTGACACTAAAATAAATGTCAATATATATTATCTTTCAGATTTACCAAAAATTTATCTCCTGACAAGATAAACCTAAGCACCCTTAAAGGTGAAGGTGAACTGAAGAATTTGGAGTTGGATGAAGAGGTGCTCCAGAATATGTTGGATTTGCCTACATGGCTTGCTATCAACAAAGTTTGTTGTAATAAAGCATCTATTAGGGTGAGATTTTGATATCGGTGAAAAGCATTTTCTGTTTTTATTTTTTAATTTTATCCCTATCTTTTAAAATAAATATTTTGTTTTAGGTAATTCTGTCCAGAAGCATTTTTATTAACGTAGTTTAAAAAGGCAAATACCTTTTTCTTAAGTAATTACATGAATGTGTGCCTTATGAATTGTCATATAGTAATGTATTAATTTATGAATTAATAGATTTTAATTTCTGTTTAAAATTTATTAGTAGTATTTAAATAAAATTATTGGTAGTTTAATACAACTCAAAGTTTTTTAATTGGATTTGTTATCAAATGTGACAATTTAAATTTGTGATAAACACTTTATTTTACTTTATTTTTAAAAAAATATGTTTTTATTGGTTTTTAGAGAGAGAGAGGAAGGGAGAGGGACAGACAGATAGAAACATCGATGAGAGAGAAACATCATCAACTGCCTCCTGCATACCCCCTGCTAGGCATGTGCCCTGACCAGGAATTGAACCAGTGACCTCTTGGTTCATGGGTGGACACTCAACCATTAAGCCACACCGGCCTGGCATAAACACTTTATTTTAAATGAAGACATAGGACGGATAAGTTATTATCATCTCTTTGTTATACTTTTATTTAAAGTTTTATTTCTTCTCCTCATTTGTTTCTTATTTTGAGGATTTTAAAATTTTCTTTTATTAATACATTACTTACTAAAACTTATTTTTACTTGCTTTGACACTAATCATGTCATACCATTTCTTGCTCTTAAAGACTAGGCTTAGTTTGCAAGTCTGCTCAGTAGAGACAGTTGAATGCTAATTTGTTTCTTAAAATTAAAATTAGGCACCAAAGAGAAGATTGTAGGAAAAAAAGATAGTTTCCTTTAATTTTTTGTTCTATCCTTCGTAAACCCAAATATCTCCAAAGACATGTTATTTTAGTGCAGGTTATGTTTGAATATTATTTATTTGCTATTTCCTACATTTTATAGTAATGGCTTCACTTTTGTATTTGTTTTAAATATCTGTAAAGAGGTCAAATTCTAGAATATAAAAAATTGTTAAATGAACAAAATACTGATTATGCTTTGCTGGGAGGTCTTAGCTAAATTATGAAATTAAAATGTGTTTTAAGGACTGGGAAAAGAAGATATTTAAGAGAACCTGAAATTTTCATTTAAAAAGATGACTAAGAAAATATGACTAGTCTTTTATGTAATGTAGGCACATCTAATTTTAAGAGTATGAATGGCTCATTTTATTATTTTGCAATTTAAGAAAAAAGTCATCTGATACAATTTGGTGTGTCTGTTACTATTTTAAGAAAGAAACTGTGTCGGTTACTATTTTACATCTTTTAGTGATTCATTTTAAAGAAAAAAACTTTTTCCCCCCCCAGATCCCATGGACAAAACTGAAAACACATCCCATCTGTTTGGTGAGTTCTGAACTGCCTCAGAAACAAACATTTATATAAGCATCTGATCTAACTACTCTTTTAATATTAATACTTTCTGGGGTTAGAAATTGCACTTCTATGAAATCTGACGATCTCAGCAGTATATGGCTGTTTCTTATGGTTTTTCTCTCATACTCCTATAAAACACACAGCTTTTCCACTAGATATTAAGGGCCTTGAGAAGGGACTGAGTACACTGTTTTCTGTTTTTATATTTGTCTTTTTTTTAGGCCTTTAGAGAGACATCTAAAATGACTCTGATCACTTCATGTTTACTTAGCTTCTAAAGAAATGAAAGAGAATACAGTCTTAAATATTTTTATAATATACATAAAATACAATATCTAATTGATTACATTTGTAATGTGTTTTTATTAGACCCTGGATAAAGTAATAATGGAAATGAGTACATGTGAAGAACCACGAAATCCTAATGGCCCATCACCAATTGCAACTGCTTCAGGACAGAGGTAAGCTGTTTGCATTAATCTGTATGACTGGCAAAGGGAATTTTCCTATTAGTCATATCTATTTTTTCTCTCATTGATTTGTTGTTCTACTTGTATATGCATTCATTCGTTCTTTTTTTTTGGATTTTTTTACTTTTTATTTACCTATAGTCATCTCTATTATCTGCAGTAATGGAACATAAAGTCCACTAACCTACAGCAGTCTCTATTTCAGTCACCTCTCCCATCAAACATTGTACAGTTTTAGTATATACATTGCAAAAGTAGCAAAATTGATTTTAGCCTTTTATTCATCTTGCTTTTCTTGATATTTAAATAGCAATGATCAAACAAAGGCAGAGCAGTAGTAGAAAATGAAAGCAAAAGAGCTTGGGCATTCTATAAATCAGATGCATATCATTTATTCAGTGCATCAGTGGAACCTTTATAACTCTAAAGAGTTAAATTGATATCTAAAAAAATTATAGACCTTTTGGATTACTCTAAAATTCATTAAATAAAGAATGCTCATAAATTGGATTTTGATAGATAAAATCAGATGCTAATAAAGTAGAAGCATGAATCCCATTTCACAAAGCTTTCTTGAAAAATTAGAATAGTTCTTGAAAAATAGATCTTTAAAAAAGTGCCTTCTTATTTTTGCATTCAATATTTTTGGATCTTGTACTATGTATCATTTTCTCAAGGCAGGATTTCTACACTATTTTGGATTGTGCAACTGTTCGTGTAAAATGTTCACATAGATTTTAATGTGATTGGTGCCTCCTCAAATTGTATAATTTGCCAGCCCTGAACATTTATAGTACTCTGGGTGCAGAGGAAACCAGTGATAAAACTCCTCTGAGGATGAACATGCACATACATATATACACACACTTACACCATCCTCTTTCACCAGGGTTGAACCACCTTCAGACTAGTGCATTCTACCAGATGTATGATTTATATTTGTATTATAGGTAATAGTGACTCTGAAAAGAGCCTTCACATTAACTTCTATGTAGTTTATGCATTGTCCAGCAATTTGAGATTTTGAAGTTTAAATTGTGTTTTCAGGTTTGATAGAGTAGATTGAAGCAGTTGGTCTTTAAATTGGCTGAAGTCAGAAAATTTAGAAAGGAAAGGTGTTTATAAGATTATTGAAAGAGGAAAATTGCTATTAATAAAAGGTTTATCTTAATTAGATATGGCAGAAATTAGGTATTTTGTCAATGTGTGGTAAGTGTAGTTGATAGTGTTCTTCCAAATTCCCATTTTTATGGTATCAGTAAGCTTTAAAATTTGGCTTTATAAACATATAATGGCAGTTCTTATATTTGGATGCATGGCAGTATGGTTCATCTATTTCCACACTTTCCAGACTTGCCTGACTGTAACAATCACTTAGAGTGTTCACTAAGTCTGCAGTCTTCCAGGCTCCTTCTTTTGAAATTATGATTCATTAGGACTATAATGGTTGTCAAGAATATGAATATGTATTTTTAACAATTCTTTATAGTTATGTAATTTAGGGAAATACTGATCTATTTGATGTTTCTAGCTAAGAGATTAAAAAAGAGGGAAACTAATAATAGGTTTAGAAAAACTTTACTTATAAACTGGAATTTTACCTTTTTAATTTATAATGGATTATGTAATCAAACATGTAGACTTAGTTATTGATACAGGCATCACCCTTCTGATGGTAAATCCTCCAATGCAGTTGTAACACTTTAAAAAATAAATTATTGATTTGGGGGAGAGAGAGAGAAACATTGATTTGTGGTTCCTCTTATTTATGCATTCATTGGTTGATTCTTGTATGTGCCCTGATCAGGGATCAAACCTGCAACCTTGGTGTACTGGGACAGTGCTCTAACCAACTGAGTTACCTGGCCAGGGCTGTAACACTTTTTAATGTGTATACATAAGAATAGATGGGGTTGGATATTCTAAAAGTTATTCCCATGTACTTATTATAGAAATATTTTCTCCAACTCCAGGAATATTTCTACCTAAGTCACCAGTATTTGTCTTTAGGATCAAAGCAGCTCCTCCCTAGGATGCTAATGAGTTCTTACTCTTTGGTTCTCAATTTTCTAAACCCAAGGTAGATGGCCACCTCTTTTTAAAACAAAATTACCTCAGGCAAGCCAAGGACTATATAAATTACTACGCATATTCTTTTTCATTTATGGACTACAGCAGCCTTTTGAAATAGGTATTATTTTCATTTTACAAATGAAACTTTCAATAGTATTAATAATAGTATTAATAATTTACTTTTAATAGTATTAATAACTTTCTACTATTAATACTATAAATAATAGTTACATTTTGTGAAGTATCATGAGTCAAGAAATGGACTGTTTGGTTCATGTGCATTATTTCATGCAGTTGACAGCCTGCAAAGTATTACCTGATTTAAAAGATGAGGCTTAGAAAGGTGCAGTTGATTTACTTATTCCTTAAGGTAGTAAATAAAAAAGCATAGCAGTTGGTATAGTGGAGGCATGTAAATGCTCCATAAAGATAATGGGTTCAGTTTGATACATATTCACTTGAAATGTGTGAGAGTAAGCCTGGTGGAGCTATGTGGTGGACATTTGAATTTTATAGTCGGAAGTTCCTGTGAGATCTGGATGGAGACATAGATTTAGGAATAATGGTCATTGATGATAATACAAGTAATGTACCAGTTGGGCAAACTTTTACCACCCCTCCTGCCAAAATATATTGATAGTGTATATTCCAGTTATACTGTACTACTCATCATTCTCGAAACATAACCTCTGCTCTCCTACCTATTTATCTGTGCCTTTGCTCATGCTTTCTCCTGTTCCAGGATTTCCCTTCCTTCCCATCTCTCCCGGTGGAAACTTCATCTTTCTTTCCTGGATGTATTTCTCCCTAGTTATAAGCAGTTTCTTCCTCTACTAAGTATACTGATGATTCCTTTTTTAAAACACAATTACAGATTGCTTCATGGTTTTAGTTACTAGGGCATTTTTTCCCCTACCCTAGTAACTTGTGAGCCCTATAATGCCATAACTGTATTTTGGTTTTCCTTATGTCTCAGCGTTGTTCACATAGTAGATGCTCAATAAGTATTTGCTGAATTGAATTAGAGAGTGTGCACTTTTTCTAACCTTCCTACTAAATTATGAGATTATATTCCACTGGACTGACTGTATCCCCCTTTGTGCGAAGAAGTATCCGAAAGTGAGCAGGTGCCTGTTTCTTTCACATTAATTTTCATATAAAACCAGATATTGATTCTGGCAAAAGTTACTTTCAGGAGATTGATTTGAAAACTTTAGGTCCACTGGATGTTGTAGTATCACCATTCTAGAATCCAAAGGGACTTGTTCCTGTCTATGAGAAGCTAATTATTAAAACGTTGAGATGTGTCACTTGCCTAAGGTTAAAGTTTGACAGATAGTATTGAGTGGTTAAGTCACTGATTCAGTACCCTTTTAATTTTATGGTGTAGATGCCAGTCGTCTGGACTGATGCTTGTTGAGATACCGATTTTAATAATTTAATTTAGGGAATAGCCTCCAATTTTAAAAACCTTTTATTATTTTGAGAAGAGCATTTTTATAACTTACATGTAACCAGGCTAGAGTATTGTTTTAACAAAAAACTTGGTTTTTTAAACACAAATGAATAATATTATGATACTTTGTGTACTTGTTTGAGAATATTAACAGGTAACTTTTTTCTTTTAATGATTTTTTTGGCTTTAGCACATTATATTTTGTTTTGCTTTACTTTTCCAGTGAATACAGCTTTGCTGAAAAAGTAGTTGAGGGAATCACTGTTTCTGTAAATTCCATTGTCATCCGCATTGGAGCAAAAGCTTTCAATGCATCCTTTGAACTTTCCCAGCTACGGATCTATAGCGTGAATGCAAACTGGGAGCATGGAGATTTAAGATTTACTCGTATTCAAGACCCACAGAGAGGAGAGGTAAATAGTTTTTTCTTTGTTTAAAATTTATTTTAGTCACTGATAAATAAAAGATGTTTAAAATAATTACTTCTTATGGTTACCTAGATTCACATACTACTAAATTTGCCATTTAACTATACTTTTCTCTGTTTTACTCTTAATCATTATCAAGTGTACATGTTTCAATATTTTTATTGTAATAAATCTTTCAACTCATAGAGTTAATGATCCTATTTTAACTTCACAGCTACTCAGAATTGAATTTTACATTTACAAAACTAAAACATGCCATTTAAATTCATGGTCACATGATTCAAATACTCTTTGTACTTTATATTAAAATTAAATTGCTTATAATAAAAGTGTTAACAGCTTTACAGATGATGAATATAATTATGAAGGTGTGTTACTAAATTTGTTGGAAGTATACAATTTCAAAAATATAATCATAGTGACTATATCTAAAATATATGAAAATTAGTGAAGAGATACATTTCTATTTCTTTTTTTAATCTACATTTTTCACATTCTATTTTGCATGAGTAAGTGAAGCTAATCTCTGTGTTCTCTGTAGGTTTTGACATTTAAAGAAATAAATTGGCAGATGATTCGAATAGAGGCAGATGCTACCCAAAGTTCACATCTTGAAATTATGTGTGCTCCTGTTCGATTAATAACCAACCAATCAAAAATCAGAGTCACACTTAAAAGAAGGGTAAGTTAATGGAATTTTCTTTGTGATTCATATGATAACTATTGGAATTGACAGGAAATTTAAAATAATTTTTAGGCAAAATATTGGCATATTAAAGCAGTGCAAAATAAAAGAAAATATAATGCCTAAAGCAATATTTGAAGAAACCTACTGTAATAACATTTTTCAGTCCTCTAGATTTAATACTTAGATTTTTATTTTTTATGATTAAATAGATTTCTCAGTTGCCAGATATCTGTTGAACATGAACAGTTTTATCATTTTATTTCTCCTGTTGAATTGCTCAGGAGTAGGTAAACAGAAACTGAAACTACTGGCTTTCGAAGGTTATTAAGATATGACTGATAATTAAGATAAATAGGGAAGATAGGTACTTATGGATGTCAGAAGTTGAGAGTCCACTATGGATTGTGATGAAGTTTAATGACAGAGTAATTATTTTAACCATGGCTTAAAGTCTCAACATGTTTTGTATCACTAGACACAAATTATTATATACTAAATTAAACTAAAAAAAAAGCTTTTTTAGAATATGTGGTTAAAATAGCATTTTAGTTTTTAATTAACTTTAATGCCCCTTTTTCTACTAGAATTAGTTGAATTAACATATGTAATTAAATGATTTATTAGCTATAAATACAAAATTAAATTATATAAGTACTTGTACCTATGTAACTTTGACTTGTTTAGGTATAGGAACTTGTCAGTCTTTTTTACCACTCTATTGCCAATACTAAGAAATATTCTTTCCATACTTTTGGAACTCATTAAATATTTGGTGAGTGAAGGAAGATTCATGTTTAATTCGATTCAAAAATTAAATATTTTAAAATAAAAGTACATTATAAGTTTTATTTCTTGGCTTAATTTTATGAATCAATTTGTTTTCTTTTTTTGACAGTTAAAGGACTGCAATGTCATTGCAACAAAGTTAGTTCTAATATTGGATGACTTATTATGGGTTTTAACAGATTCTCAGTTGAAGGCTATGGTACAATATGCAAAATCTCTTAGTGAAGCAATAGAAAAATCAACCGAACAAAGGAAGAGTATGGCTTCTGAACCTACACAGGTATGCTATTAACAGGAAAAACACCTTACTTTACATGTAAGTGGTTTAACAATCAGAATAGTTAGTTTCCTTTATGTGAAATAGATTATAATATTCTGAGTCCAAGAATCTTCTTATATATCTTACTATATAATTTTATATATTTGATACCTATATGAAAAGATATATTATATTTCTGTCTATATAGTGCTTATTTTGTTTGGAAGCCTCTGTTAGCACTAGAGCTAAGGATCACATAAAAATATTTTTATTTTACTTTTTTAATATATATTTTTTAATCCTCACCTGAGGATCTTTTTTAAGTTGATTTGAGAGACAGAGGAAGAGAGAGAGAAAAACATCAGTGTGAGAGAGAAACATTGATCAGTTGCCTCCCATACACGCCCCTTCCGGGGATCAAACCTGCAACCTTTTGGTGTATGGGATGACGCTCCAACCAACTGAGCCACCCCACCAGGGCAAGTTTTTGACATTTTTTAATAAAAAATTTGGTCTTGCCCTGGCTGGTCTGGTTAGAGCTTCAGCTCCTGCACTGGAGAGCTGTGAGTTCAATTTTCCCAGTCAAGGACACATACCTGGGTTGCAGGTTCAGTCCTCGACCCTGATCCAGGCGCATGTGGGAGGCAACCAGTCTGTATGTCTCTCTCACATCAGTGTTTTTTTTTTTCTCTCTCTCTCTTTTCCCCCCTCTCTCTTCCTCTCCCTCCTCCTTCCTTCCTCCTCCCTTTCCACTCTTGCTAAAAAAAAAAAAACAATGGAAAAAATATCCTCAGGTGAGGAATAACAAAGCAAACAAACAAATTTAGTCTTTATTTCATTTCAGGTACAGTTCTAAGGCTGATATATCTTCAGATTATGTGTGCAGAATTATTTTAGGTTATTAGAGGGTCACACATGGTTATATACTTCACCAGTATTCTATGCTTTTTGTCTCTGGGGAGAAAGGAATTTTGAACTTACAATCTGTTTCTCCTGCTTTCTAGCTTCTTTAGATATTGAAGTTCAAAGGACACACGACACCTTATAAGAGGCACCAGAGCACTTACAGTACTAAATAATATCACAAGCTCTTTTACAAAGAAGTGATTAATATCTACAGAATATATAATAGTGTATACAGCTGATGTTTACAGGGCTCACATTTGTTTTCTCTTTAATATATAGAACTATATTCAAATAACCTGCCTTTAATAGTTAATAAGTATATTTTCTAAGACAAGAAGGGCTATAAATATGTATATATATTCAAATATTTGCCAAAATATATTGGGTTCATATTCAAATTGTGTATAGTTTATCAGTTTCTTAATTTTAGTTTTATTCTTATGAAATTCAGAGAGTATTTTAGAAAAACTGAGTTATTGATACAAAAGAAAATGTATTAGGTTGTTTTTCATCACTTTACTCCTAAGAATATTTAAGTTTTCTTTTGCAGGGAATTTCAAGTTTTTAACTTGCAGTGCTAAGGCAGTCTTGAATCTTTTAGAGCTCTGCAGCAGCCCCATCTATGCAGCAAGTGAAGACATCACATACTTCAAATGCTCCTGATCTAAATGATGCAATTGTGAAACTATTCAATGACTTTGATGTCAAAGAAACCTCCCATCATTTAGTGATTTCTCATCTAGATCTACACATATGTGATGATATTCATGCTAAAGAAAAAGGTAAAGATGCTTATTTTAAACTATTTTGGTTTTTCTAGAATTTACTATAAAGTTGGGTTGTTTATCATGTGTAATATGTAGTATGTACTATAAGATAACTGGTCATAATTTTACCATTCATAAGTGATATATACATGAAAGATGTAATGTTAAACATTATAGATTGTAGTATGTTGAGCTCCATAGAGACAGCGCTAGGGAAAGTGTGAACTGGAATAGCCCTGGGCGACACTGTGCTCGTTGAGGAAAAGTGATTAAACATGGCAATGGAGATCCTAAGAAGCCAAGAGGCAAAATGTCATCATATGCTTTCTTTGTGCAAACTTGCCAAGAGGAGCACAAGAAGTAGCACCCAGATGTTTTAGTCAACTTCTCAGTGTTTTCTAAGAAGTGCTCAGAGAGGTAGAAGACCATGTCTGCTAAAGAGAAAGGAAAATTTGAAGCATTGGCAAAGGCGGACAAGGCCTATTAATGAAACAAATGAAAACTTATATCCTTCCTAAAAGAAATAAGTTCAAGGATCACAATGCACCTAAGAGGCCTCCTTTGGTCTTTTCTTGTTTTGTGCTGTGCATCGCCCCCAAATCAAAGATGAGCTATGTGATCTTGGACAACCTGCACAACCTAATAGACTCAATTTCCTCTTCAGTAAGAGACAAGATGGTATAGTGTAGTGGTAATATTTTCTGGGTTCAAAACCAACTCTACACTTACTTGGCCTGTTTTACTTCTTTCTGTCTTAATTTCTTTATTTAGAAATTAATAATAATAATAATAACAGTATCTATCTCATAGGGTTGTTATGAAGAGCAAACAGGTAAGTATATCTAAAGTATTTAAAACAGTGCTTGCCCAGCTGGCGTGGCCCAGGGATTGAGCATCGACCTAGGACCCAGGAGATCATGGTTCAGTTCCCTGTCAGGGCACATGCCCAGGTTGTGGGCTTGATCCCCAGCAGGGGGCTTGCAGGAGGCAGCTGATCAATGACTCTCTCATCATTGATGTTTCTCTCTCTCTCTCCCTTTCCCTTCCTCTCTCTGAAATCAATAAAGATATATTTTTAAAACAATAAAATAAAACAGTGCTTGACATTTGGTTAGGGCTATAAATATAGAAGTTTATTGCATCCTCATTTTTTAGCCTAGTACCTGCAAATGATAGAGGCTTAATACTTATTAGATTGAGTTGCATTTCCTAAAATCCTTAATGTATTATTCGTGATAACAGAAAGACAGTTATTACTGCTCAGACTGTAGGTGTGGTAAATTAAGTGTTTCTGATATTTGCTTAATATTCTTTTCTTTCTCTCAAATCCATCTTTTTCTTTTCCCAGAGTCAAATAGACGTATTACTGGAGGGGCTATGCAACTGTCTTTTACAAAACTGACTATAGATTATTATCCTTATCACAAAGCAGGTATGTATAACAATTTCTATAAAAGAAAAATCTTGCTTTAAATTATATAGCTATTTGTTTCATTTTTTAAATTTTATTTTAATTTTTAAAGCAAAAGGGAATCAGGACTTTTGTTTTTCCCCTGTAGTATCTTACCAAGAAAATGTAATTGCCATAGAAAATATTTATGCATTTCATGTTGAGGTTTATGTAGATTATTAGAAAGTGTAATTGTTAGAAATTGTCAGTATTCGAAATAACTAATTTAAAACTTTTAAAAATTAGAATACAGAGGGCACATATTTGTGTTATTTTGTTAATTGTGACTCAAACAAGTTTATTAATATGTTTGGATTTTTAAATGATATATTTAGATATTAAAAAATCAAAAAAGAATTTAAAGCAAAGGATAACAGATTTTAGCTAAGTCTTAGGAGTCTGGATGCTTAAAAAAACCACTTTTTTCTATTTTCTTAATTTCTTAATCTCAATGAATGAGATTTAATAGGCTCCTTTATAATCAAATATTGATAGGTTTTTCACTTCAAATAATAAAAACAAAAAGAATGTGTGTTCGTGGCCAGATTAGGTAATTTGATCTTATAACCATCTCTGCATTTTGGTGGTATATGGCTTTTTGTTTTTAATTCACACAAATAACAAATGAGTTTTCTAGGATTTTAAAAAGTGATAAAATTTTTCTGTTTACAATTTTTTATCTCCCAGTGTTAGTCCATTCTATATCAGTACCTGACAGCTTTTAAAGGTTATACTGTTTGTTTTGATTTTTGTTTGAGAGGCTTTTTCTTATAATCTATTTCCGCGGATTCATAAGTTACTTACATGTACCTAAAATACTTTTAACTATAAAATCATTCATATTGTGAGGTAAAACTTTCAGCTATAAATTAGATTTTCTTTTCTTAATCCTTTTATATACATATTACTTCCTTTAGTTGCTACAGAGAAACCTAATAATCCTGATTTTTAAAATTTTCCCTCCAAAAAACTTATATAGAGATGTAGTTATATCTTTATCACTGATGTCCATCTTGAGAATTTTTATCAGTTTCTCAGTTTTCTAATAATCCTCATCATTTTTGTGGATAAGTTTTTGTTGGTCACTTTACAGGTGATTTTTGATGAAAAGACTGTTTTCTTTGCTGGTGTTTTCTGGGATTCTGGCCAGGGGGGCTAGGCTAGGTGATTGTGCATTAGGTGAAGGTTCACAAGCAGTGCTGCTCCCAATGGAAACTTTGAACGATGTTTTTACCAAGGGTTGGTTCTAGGTAGAAACCCTCCCAGATTACTTCCTTTTGACTTTATTTCCCTTTGTTCTAAATGTCTGCTCATATTTTTTAGGAAGATTAAAATTTGTAGTAGGTGAAGGCTGTAAATTTATTGGAAAATTGAAGAATCCCTAAATGAGAATTGTGTACTTTTCAGTGCAATTTCTTATTATTCATTTTACAGGAGATAGTTGTAATCATTGGATGTATTTTAGTGATGCAACCAAGACAAAAAATGGATGGGCCAGTGAGCTGTTACATGAATTTGAGTGCAATGTTGAAATGCTTAAACAGGCTATAAAGGATCATAATGCAGGTTCACCTCCTAAATCCCCAACACATGCCTCTCCCCAGCACGCACAGACAGGTATTTCACCTATAGCAACATTATGGCATTCCTCTAATATTAATCGTGTGTGTATGTGAGCATGTATGTGTTCATAATAGGGTATTTTCTGTAAATAAGTATTATGTTTAATGTATAAAAATCCTGCATCTTATTCAGACCATAGGCAGATGGAACAAAAAGACTAATACCCAGGTAGAATATTTCAGGCTGTTAAATGGCTAGTTTTCTCTCTTTAAAAAAAAAATTTATTGATTTCAGAGAGAGGAAGAGATAGGAGAGAGATAGAAATCAATGATGAGAGAGTCATTGATTGACTGCCTCCTGCACACCCCCTGACCGGGAATCAAACTGCGATCTCTTGGATCATAGGTTGATGCTCAACCAATGAGCCACACTGGCCGGCCGAGTTTTCTCTTTTTAGTAACTATTTCAGCCAAAAGTTAACATGTGAGAGTATCTTAAATGTGATGCAAGTATGATTCCTGTTTAAAGGATAATCATCATGAAAAAGTAGTCACAATTACTTACATTTCTATATCGATTTATATGTGAAGTATTTCCATATATATTACCTCATTTGAGAAATCAGAGTTTATCTGTATTTCTAGTAGCTGTCATAATAGTAAAAAGAGTGACTGTTGGGGGAAAATGCAATAAATTGAAAGGAGTTTTTGTTTCCCACAGAGAAGGACTCAGCTCTGAAAGGGACTTCCAGAACACCTTCAGTATTATCTAAACAGTCCAAAGCTAAGTTAATGTCTAGTTCTGTTGTGGTCAGACTTGCCGATTTCAATATATACCAGGTATGTTTTACTTTTAAATTTTCTGATAAATACATTTAGTATCTCCTGCAAGCAACTTTTATAATATATTATATATATATAATATATAATATAATGCCACCATTTTATTTAAAAACACCTTGACCAGTTTTGTGAAATGGCTAAATAGAATAGAAAATATCAGTTTATTATTTTTGTGTATGTAGTTTCCCAGGATTAGGCATACTGTGAAGTTAAGGTCATAGTCCTCTAAATTGCCAAGTCTGCACAAGACTTCTCATAACAACTGCAAGTTTAGAGAGTTCTGTAAACTGCCCACTGATTTGAGAATTCACTGGAAAAATTCACAGAACTTACTGAAATCAATTATACTCAGTCACATTTATAACAGGGGAAAGGATACAAATTAGAACCAGTCATAGTGGTGATTGCAGAGGGTGGGGAGGAGGGTGGTGGAAGTGGAAGAGGGCATAGAGGGGAGTCTGGGAGGATTCTAAATTCAGAACTTCCTTTTCTTCAGGATACATTAGTCACCTGGCTTGGATGTGTAACAATATGCATGAAATATTGCCCACATAGTTGAATTCAGTCTGTAGGTGGACTGATAGAGGTGACCCAAGGTGTCCACCCTCTGAACACCACTAAGGCAATCAAAATGTGGCCAGTACAACTCTGAGACATCTTGTGAGCATAAACTATCACATCGTGGTCCCAGGGGTCCACCATATATAGGAAATTCCATAGCATAGAATTACCTCCCAGGTCTGGCAGGGTTAAAGGCCAGCCCTTTCTTTGTAGTCCAGATTGTGACACAATTGCCTTAGTGGAAGAAACTAAAATACCTTTTTACTTATTGAACTGAGCATTGGCTATACTGTTAACATAATTTTATAGCTAAGAACTCTATATCCCATTTACACTAAAAACTTTATTCAGGCTGTAATCTCACAACATGGTCTAACCTCATTTATTGAGACCAACACAATAAATATGTGACCTATTTTTTTTTTTAAAAGATTTCAGATGTGTATTAGCATTTATGAAATAATTCTATTTTGATAAGCCTATGACTTTGAGACTTAGTTTTATCTGAAAAGTTTTCATTTTACTCATTGGTTTTTAATTGAGGCTGATTACTACCCAGAGGACATTCAACATTGTCTGAGGGCAGTTTTGTTTTTTTTGTTTGTTTGTTTTAATATATCTTTATTGATTTCATAGAGAGGAAAGGAGAGGGATAGAGAGAGAGAAACATCAATGATGAGAGAGTCATCTATTGGCTGCCTCCTGCACGCCCCCGACTGGGCATCGAGCCCACAACCCCGGCATGTGCCCTGACCGGGAATCGAATCCCGATCGCCTGGATGTTGGGTTGACACTCAACCCCTGAGCCACGCCCGGCCGGGCTGAGGGCAGTTTTGGTTGTCACAGTTGGAACAGGTTGCTATTCACATTAGTGGGTAGAGACCAGTGATTCTGCTAAACATTTTACAATGTACTGGACAGCCCCCACAACAAAGAATTATCTGGCCCAAAATGTCAGTAGTGCAAATTTTGAGAAACCCTGGCTTAACAGTTGTTTTTTTATTGTGCAATTGCTTTTTCCTTTACATTCTATATATAATATAACTCATCTCATTTGAAGCAGACTTTAAATTATGAGATTTAATAAATTCAAATGGTAATGAATTATCCACAATCTCAAATTGTTGAAGGTGAAATATAGTAAAGAAATCCCAGATAGACAAATATAACAAAACAAAACTAAAGCAACAGGAAGAAAATAAAACAGTATATTCATTACATTTTGAATCACTCTTTAAATAATAAGGGAAAAGGGGAATAAGCCGTTTTCTATTAAAATTATTTGACACTTTGAATTGAAAAGGATTTATTTTCATACATGCGGAGAAAAGCTTAATTAGATAATGTAAGGAACTGACTTAAATTTATAGACGACAAATAATCAAAAGGTTTGATTAGCAATTTACATGAGAAAACATAAATAAACCATTGAAAAAGCATTTCAGTTTGTGTGAGAAATATACATGTATGTTGAATGAAGGCGAAAAAAAAAACCTTGAGATATGTCCTTGGGTCTACTAAGCATAAATAAGTGAAATTGATAAAATTCGTTTGAACTTTGGAGAAATTAGTATGTACATTTTTAATGTAATTATAAATTACCAGTTTTGGGGTGAGGATAATGAGAACCTTAAAACTAACTTTTTAAAAAAATTTAAATGATTTGAGAAGCATTTATAATTGTATTTTTATTTTTATTTTTGTAAAATATACATAACAAAATTTGCCATCTTAATCATTTTTAAGTGTACAATTCATTGGTTAAGTATATTCACATTGTTGTGCAACTCTCACCACTGTTTATTTTCATAATTTTAAAAAAATATATATCTTTATTGATTTCACAGAGAGGAAAGGAGAGGGGGAGAGAGATAGAAACATCAATGATGAGAGAGTCATTGATCGGCTGCCTCCTGCACACCCCCGACTGGGGATCCAGCCGGCAACCTGGGCATGTGCCCTGACTGGAAATCTGACCCCGATCACCTGAATCCAAGGCCCACGCTCAACCACTGAGCCACGTCTCGCCGGGCTATTTTCATAATTTTTTATCGTCTCAAACTGAAACTCTGTATATAACTATATTATTTTTCTTAATAAAGAAATTTGGGTAGAGGATTTATAAAGTACATGCTGAAGAAGCATTGTAGTCTTGAGGACTTAGAACTATGTCCAGACTCTGCCATTTACTTATTTATATTATCTTATAGAAATACTCTATCTGTTATTTTAAGGCTCAAAATAATAAGTTTGCAAGGAATGTTGTAAAGAGTTGATTTTGTAATTGATGAGAATCCAAAGGGAATAGTTTTCTGAATAGTCGATTAAAAAACAATTTAATGTGAAGTTAAAGTTTTCATTGGAAATTAAACATTCATAAATTATTGGGAGCAGTTTTAAGAGTTTAAAGTGATGTCTATGCTGCATAAATTCTTTGTAAAGGGCTTTGATACTCAGTGTTACTTTAGGAAACTTAATTATTTTTTTTAGGTCTCTACAGCAGAACAATATCGTTCTTCCCCCAAAAGTATGATTTCTTGCAATAAAAAATCCCTGTATCTTCCTCAAGAAATGTCAGCTGTCTATATAGAATTCACAGAATATTACTATCCAGATGGAAAGGATTTTCCAAGTAAGAGGGTTTCCTATTCTGTTATTTGTCCATTACTTGGGAAGTTGTTTTTTTCTTTTCTTGCTAAGTTGTTGAGTCTTATAAATGTGAAAAAAGAAACAAAGGTCCATTGTTCTTTCCTCTGGTTATCATTGTATGTAGTACATAACTCTAGGATAGCATTTTTGTGTATCATTGTTTGTTCATGGATTCTTTTCCCTTACTAGCTTGTAGCATACTTGATGTCAGGAACTATGTAGTATTCATGCCTCATTTTATCGCTGATTTTTGACTCATTTTTATACTGAGTAGCAGTTTGTTTAATGACAGGCTATTTGTAGAATAAGATCATATTTTTTCCGTTAGTAAAACCCTATTTATATTTCTGGTATATAAATATAAAACTATATATTTCATTGAGAGGATGACTAATGAAGCTGTCCTTTTAGCTACAGAGAATTTTTTGGCCTTTTTTTAATGCCCATATATATACCTTGGACAACTTTTTGCACTTGTCCTTAGTTAAATATTGAATTCTATGAATTTTTATTTATAAACTACTTTGGGGGCCTAAAGTTAAAATGATTATACATTCGTGTTCTTTGAATGTTAAAATTCTGTGCTAGCTGTCTCGGTTAATCGAGGAGTCTTTCAAACTAAAATTTGCCTTTGTTTATGTGGTACCTTTTTCATTATTGTAGTTGAAAATCATAGTTGAGAAAAAGTGTTTAAATGAAATAGGTTATGTTATCAGAAAAAAAATTTTTTTACGTCTTTAAAAGTGGAACTCCAAAATAGTTTGATCTCCTTTGCCCATTTGTTTAATATTGACTTAATATAAGTTCTTAGTTTCAAAGGGCTCATGCCTTTGTTGTTACATAAAAAGAAGGTAGCCTGCTCTGGCCAGTGTGGCTTGGTTGGGTGTCATCCGTGCACCGAAAGGTTGCTGGTTTGATTCCGTTAGGGCACATGCCAGGTTATGGACTCAATCCCCAGTAAGAGGCATGCAGGAGGCAGCCAGTCGATGTTTCTCTCTCTCTCTGTCTCTAAAATCAATTTTAAAAAACATATTTTAAAAATAAATAAAAGTTCTAGATGTGCATACTATTTGCTTTGGTAGAAATAAATAGGTCTGAATTTTTAGAATAAAATATCTTCATCAAGATGATCTGAAAATGATACTGGCTTTTATGATACAAATATATGTGGATTTCAGGAAGTGATATATACTCTAATTATAAATATTAGTTTAGCATATATTAGCACTAAAGCATTTATCCAAACCCTAGGCATTTTAGTATTTTGGGGGTGCTATGATAGTGTATTCATTTGATTATTTAAGGGATACTTGAGTTTTTACTTTGCACCAAGCACTATTCTAGGTTTAGGATTAAGGAGAGAATAAACCTGCACATGGCCCTCCTCTTAAGGAGATTGGCCTGGTTTACTACTTTCATAAGAAATTAATCATTAAGACTTTTTTCTTTCATTGTGGAGGATTCAGATTAAGATTCAGGTAGTAGAAGTCCTTATAGAAATAAGGGATTAAGGATCACAACTTTGATGTAATAATTCATTAAAAAGGTAAGGTTTTTTTGAAGTTTGCTTGTTGGTGACTATAACATTAGGAAAAGAGATCTAAACAGTATTTCCCATTTATACAGTTAGTTTTAGATTAAGTTGTATATTTTTCAGTTACTGAAACAGAAAAATGTTTTTTGTCTAAACGTGTTTGCTATATTCACACATGTCACTTTAAATTTGTAAATAACATCTGAAAAACTTTTCACCTAAAAAAAGAATAAAACTTGTTAAAAAATGTCTTTTCTGTTCTCAAGGAAGATTACGAACTACCTGTTTATTAAAAATCTTTTTAAAATTTTTTTCTCCACAGTTCCATCTCCCAACCTTTATAGCCAGCTGAATGCACTACAGTTTACTGTGGATGAAAGAAGTATTCTGTGGTTAAATCAATTTCTGTTGGATTTAAAACAGAGCCTTAGTCAATTTATGACTATATACAAGTTGAATGACAATTCAAAATCTGATGAGCATGTTGATATTCGAGTTGATGGCTTAATGCTAAAGGTACCATATAAACAAGTGGCTACAAGAACAAAACCATTTTTACAGATGAAAAGTTAACACCATTAATTTCCAGGATTTAAGAGGGGTGCTCAAATATAAATCAGCTTCATTGCAATCTTAATTTTGATTTTGAAATTTCAGTTTTCTGATTTTCAATTATAGAAGCTTTAAGAGACTCTTTTTTTCCTGCTGCTTTCTCTCCCTTTTATTTTTTTCATTGCTTATCCATTTGGAGGTAAGCAGTAGAAGTAAAATTTAAATGTCACTTTTTTCCTTCTTATCAGAGCTGATAAAAATTTTCTTTTAAGGAGGGTAAATAAAACAGTGAAGCTTTAAAGTTATATCTAGGCTTTATTTACTCACTTTTATTCTATTATTAATATCCAAAGGTAATAGAAAGTTGTTTTATATTACAGCCCGGTAATTGGTAATATGAATGCCTTGGGTATTTAAACTTCAAAGGAAGGAAAGTTTTTTTAAAATTTTATTTTATTGTTGACAGTATTACAGATGTCTCCCCTTTTGCGCCTGTCCACCCAACCACCACCCCACCCCAGGCCTTCCCTATGCTATTGTCTATGTCCATGTGTTATGCATATATGCATATATGTTCTTTGGTTAATCTCAGGAAGAAAATTTTTTAAAAAGCAGTTTAGTGTAGTAAATAGAATAAGACTTGGGCAAGGATGAAAATTTCAGTGTGTCTGGTAGACTAAATTTATGTACCTTTAATTTCTTCTCTGTAAAACGAGGTTAATAATACTTCAGTTACATTACAGACATGTTTTAAAGATCTTATATTCAATAGAAAGACACATTTTGTAACATAATTTATGATACAATTGTATAATGATCTTTACATTTGCTCAGTATGGACAGTTTTAAAGCCAGCCACTTTGAACACTTTGATGTGAATAGTTTTAGCACTGAGGTTAATTATCTCTAGAAAATTATTTTAGTAAATAGTTGGACCTGTACACATAAGTTCATTTTCTTAATACTAGTTTTCCCCCAGAAAAGTTATTCTAAAGACATTGATCAAGTCATTCCATTTACTCATCTATTCATACTCCAAATTGCTTGAATCTAAAATATCTTAACAAAAACTTCCCTTTTGTAAACTTGGTGCTTTCTTATATATATTCAGAGCATAGTAAGCATTTAGTAATACTGATTTAATAATTTTGTTTTTTAAAATTTTGTGATGTATTATATGGAAATATGTTATGTATCTTATTCATTATTTATGTTTGTTTTTTAAGTTTTTCATCATGGTAAATAATTTAAGTCCTTTTTACTCAGCTTAATAAAAAGATTTTGGGGGGAGAGAGTATTTTATGTCTGGATAGGAAATTAGTATTTCGTGGGGGAATGTCAAAAAGAATTCCTGAGCTAAGTCATGTTCTTGTTATTTTATCTGCAAGATCTATGGATTTGAATATTTTTTTATTTTTTTAATATTTTTTCTTTTCTAGGTTGTTATTCCTTCTGAAACGAAATCTGAATGTCATCAGGATCAACCACATGCAATTTCTATTCAGAGTTCTGAAATGATTGCCACGAATACAAGGCACTGTCCAAACTGTCGACATTCTGATCTAGAAGCCTTGTTTCAAGACTTTAAAGATTGTGACTTTTTCAGTAAAAATTATACCAGCTTCCCCAAGTCAGGTGACAGTTTTAATCTCCTGCATCCAATCTTCCAGAGACATGCTCATGAACAGGATACCAAAATGCACGAAGTTTATAAGGGAAATATTACTCCCAAGTTGAATAAACACACTCTTAAAACTTCTGCTGCCACAGATGTGTGGGCTGTGTACTTTTCTCAATTTTGGATAGATTATGAAGGGATGAAAAGTGGAAAAGGGCGACCAATAAGTTTTGTAGACTCTTTCCCTCTTTCCATCTGGATTTGTCAACCAACAAGGTACGCACTGTCTCAGAAAGAGGTGCAGACTCGTAATCAACCTCTAAATACATCACAAAGTGAATCTAGTGATCTGGCTGGCCGACTGAAGCGGAAAAAGCTCTTGAAGGAGTATTACAGTACAGAGTCTGAGCCCTGGACAAATGGTAGCCAGAAATCTTCAGATACAGTTTTAAGATTTTCCTCTTCATCATCAGATGCAGATATTCACGTCCTGGTTCATGTTCATAAACACGTCAGTATGCAGATCAATCACTACCAGTATCTATTCCTGCTTTTCCTCCATGAATCACTTATTGTGCTTTCAGAGAACTTAAGGGACGATGTAGAAGCTGTGACTGGCAGTCCTGCTAGTCAGACATCCATTTGCATTGGAATTTTACTTAAAAGTGCAGAAGTGGCTCTTTTACTACATCCGGTGGATCAAACAAATACTCTTAAGTCTCCTGTTTCTGAAAGTGTGAACCCAGTGGTTCCCGATTATTTGCCTACAGAAAATAGAGAACTCTTGTCTTCAAAAAGGAAAGAAGTTAGTAATGGTATAAGTCAAATTAGAAGTGTAACTGTTAATCATATGTCAGATAACAGATCTATGAGTGTTGACCTTAGCCATGCCTCTTTGAAGGATCCTTTGCTTTTTAAATCAGCTAGTGATACAAATCTGCAAAAAGGTATTTCTTTTCTGGATTATTTATCAGATAAAAATTTAGAGAAAATAAGTGAAGATGAAAGCAGTGGAATTCTTTGCAAAAGTGGCTCAGGGGAAATTGGATTAGAAACAAGGAACAAAAAGGATTTATCATATACAGATTCAAATAGTGTCTTAAACTACAGAGAACGTTCACGTATGCTATCATTTGATGATGGTAATCAAAACATGCTTTCAAATAGTTTAACTTGTAAAGGAAATGAAACCATAGAATCAATCTTTAAAGCTGAAGATTTGCTTCCAGAAACAGCTTCACTCTCTGAGAACCTGGAATGTGGTAAAGAAGAAGCACCCACAGTTAGAACACTTAAATCACAGTCATCTTTAAGGTAACAATGTGTTATTGGAATGGAGAGGAGGCTGTGTGTGCGCACTGGGGGGGGTGTGTGTGTGTGTGTGTGAGAGAGAGAGAGCGAGCGCATATTTTGTTTTTGGACCAAAAATGTCATTACAAAATACGGCATAGTTAGAGCTAACACATGGAAGAGTGGGTTTTTAAAAGTATGAAAGTACTCTGAGCTGATACTTAAAAACTATAATTTATAAATTTGTGGGTACTATCTGCATATTTTTATTTTGTTAGTATTTTTTAGAAAAAGCTTTTTACCTTATATGTGATGGTTTTCTAGTAATTTTGTTTGTTAACAGTGGGAAACCTAAGGAACGGTGCCCACCAAACCTGGCTCCACTCTGTACTTCTGATAAGAACATGAAAAGAAGCTCCTCACAAACATCATTGGATACCATTTCACTGGACAGCATGATACTGGAAGAACAGCTGTTAGAAAGTGATGGAAGTGATAGTTTTCTAGAGAAAGGTAAGCAGTACAGGAAAGGCTTTATATTACATATATGTACCTTAGAAGTGATGTTTAAGTATTTTTAGTTATATTCAATAATTACATCCCCAAAAAGACATTTTATTTATACACACACATGTGCATAATACAAAGAGGATTGTACCTAATTTCCTAATAGTTGTTCCAGTGCTGCTTTTAACCAGATACTTCTCTTTCTCTCTTTTTTTTTTTTTGTGCCTGACATCAAGCATTTATTTGTATATAGATCATAAAACAGACAGCATTAAGGCTATTAGCTCTCTTACAGAGACTTCTGTATGTGGAATTTTGATTAGGTGACCTTAATTAGCATGATGGATTTTTAAGTATGTGATCCTAGGACTGGAGTCCAGACTGGATCTACTTATTTCCATAACAGGATTCTTTCACATGCATGATAATATTTGATGGAGGATACTAATGCCCCTGTAAAGAACCACTAGGAGTGACTTAGAAAGAATTACATGCATCCCCACCACCAAGGCATTGGGGACTTTTTGAACAGGAATAAAAGCATGGGCCATAGCCAGGGAGTAGTTGTGCCAGACACTGAAGCATAAAAAAGCAGAGGCGTACAAATTACTTTGTGTATATAGAGTAACACGCCTATTGGATGTAGTTGAAGGCCACTTAAAAAGGAAAGACTCATAGCCTCAGAAACAGAAGATTAGAATGCTGTCAGGAAGCAATAGAGGCAAATTTGGAGCTCAACCAGTCTCACTCAAGAATCTAAGCTTTTAACCAACCACTAGGCTATACTAGCTCCCTAGACATGGGACATGGCTACCATACAAAAAAGCCCTCATCTAACCCTGTGATAGGCAATTCATAACAGTCTCCTTTCCAGCATACTGTACCAGTTAAATGGAGAAGAGGTACTAATATAGGTCATAAAAATTAATTCTAGATGCACAGAGCTCTATTGCTAGTTCCTCTGCCGCCTTTATGGTTTTAAATCCTACCTTAGGAGAGGGTTTCTGTTCTATGGCCAAAATATACTTAAAAAAAACAGTGTTCCTACGGAAAGTATCCCTAATTATACTCAAAAAGGGTCAGTGATTTTATTGTTACTTCTAAATATCAAATAATTAATAAAAGTGACTGTCACTCAATTTGAAAAATACAGACTACTACAATTTGGAAGATAGCCCCAAAGTTCCACAATCTAGTGATATCAACTATCATTTATTCTATAAATTTGTATATGTATTCACATATATATGCATTTGATGTCATATTACATATATTGTTTTTTAACCTTTTTATCACATATAAGCATGTTCTAATATTATTTGAACTCCTTTTAAAATATTTTTGAAGTCTATATTAAGTTGCCATAAGAATGTAATGACCTTTTAATCATTTCCCTGATATTGGATGTTTAGATTGTTTATAGTGTTTCAGTTATAAAATGGTATCATTAATGTCATTCACAGAGTTTTGTCTGCATTTCTAATTAGTGTCTTAGAATAGATTCCAGCAATAGACTATTTTTAGGATCTTGAAAAAAATTAGGGCATTGAGTCTGTGTGTAACATTTAAATATGTGACTATATAGTCATAATTCTCCTGAACTATGATTTTTTCCCCTCTTTTAAAAAATATGTCTTTATTGATTTTAGAGAGAGGAAGAGAGAGGGGGAGAGAGAGAGATAGAAACATCAGTGATGGGAGAGTCAGTGATTGGCTGCCTCCTGCATGCCCCCTACTGGGGATGGAGCCCACAGCCTGGGCATGTGCCCTGACTGGGAACTGAACCATGATCTCCTGAATCATAGGTCGATGCTCAACCACTGAGCCATGCCGGCCGGGCAGGATTTTCTTTATGTTAGAGGAATTGATTTTCATTAGGAACACTCTTGTTTTTCCCCCTTTCTTTTAATTTTACAAGAAATATATGAATATTTTCTCAGTGTAAAAAAACCAGGTATTATAGAAATATCTAGAGTAAAAAATGAAGGTATCACTTTAAACCACCCTTACTCTTACTCTTGATACCATTCCTCTAAAAATAATACTCATCTCAGCTTTTGATATATATTGTATACTCCCAGACCTTTTCAATGTATTTTTCTATACACATGTATATACTTAAACATATATACACTGACATATATGTGTATAAGCAGATATGCATGTGTATATATATTTGTGTATATATATTTTTGAATATATATTTACATATTTATATACAGACATACAAATAGCTGGACTACCCCCTACCACAGTCTCCTAACTGTCTTCTCACTTCTATTCTTGTTCATCTTCAGTTCATTCTTCATTCAATAGGAAGAATACTCTTTAAAAATGTAAATGCTTTCATGTTGATTTCCATTTTAATCCCAATAACTTCTCACTGCTATAAGGCTAATGTTTAAAAACCTTAACATTGCTGGCAGTGTCCTGTGTCACAAGGCCCAGCCTATCAGCTCTGCTGCCCCACGTGCTTGCTGTACGTCACCTTTACTTCAGTACATTTAGTCCTTTCTTAGTTTCCTCACTGCGACAAATTTTTTTCCACCTCAGGCTCTTTGTACCTGTGCGTAGAATGTTATTTTTCTTTCTTCTTACTTTAGCTTAAATATTACTTTATCAAGAAACCCTCCTTAACCTCTAACTATGTTAGGAACTCCCTGTAAAATGAAAGTTTATTATCTCCTCATGCCACAATTGTATTTATGTACATCTTCCCTGGCACTAAATACAGTTTTATTCATTCTTGCAATAGATAATTTATTGAGCACCTACTATGTAGCCAGGTACTCGGTTAGCTGTTAATTATATAGTAATAAATTTAATAGTAAAAACATTGATACCGTGTTTTGTATGTCTTTGGCTTTTCTAATCTAATTTTTGTAGTAATTTATTTTTACAGTATTTTTAAAAAGTATTGATCTGTGACGGACACTGTTTAAGAAATTCTCTTTTAGCACAAAGAATTTGAGAACTATGGAAATAAAGCACATTGAGAAAGTAAGGCAGGTAGGTAAGGCTAGAGAATGATTACATTGATGATAGTAGCATTACCTTCATGTAGAAGATAACTGGAAAGTACTGTAGGGTACTGAAAAGAAAAATTAAGTGGGCTGACTGGAACTGTTCAGTGTAGGACAGAGTAGAGGGAGCCATGCTCGCTGATCACGAACCTGCTAGTGACACAGCACCGTTTCTGCACAGGCCATGTTCAGCTGTGGTAGATTTCTTTTCAGACTGTCTAAGTTTAGGGCTTAAGTATCTCTAACATTTTATTGTGAGAAGTTATTTATTATTATTTGCTCACTAACCACAATTTAACTTTTCGTCGTTTATTGTCTTGTAAACAAGGCTATGCTTAGAAAAGAGTTAAAGGGATAGCCCATTTTGATTAGATAAATGTAACATTTTTTGATCATTTGTAAAACTGATTTTAACTTATTAGTTTGTTTTCTGTTATTTCAGGTATTAAAAAGAATTCGAGTACAAATTATCAGAGCCCAGCAGATAGTGCAAATGCTAGTGCAAATCTACAGAATTGTGGTGAAACCTCTCCAGATGCCATCAGTACGAATTCAGAGGGTGCTCAAGAAAACCATAGTGATCTGGTAATCATTTCAGAGATTCTGTGAAGAGAAATGCCACCAACTTTATCTCATACTTAATATGTTCACATTAAGACATTAATATATAAAATGAGGTCACTTAGATTGTGGGTGATTTGCTTTGCTCTTGAAAATTCTTCCCTCCTACTGAATTGTTTTTCTCTGAATTTCACTTAAAACTTTTTAAAATTTTTTATTGAAGAGGGGCTGTTCCATCTTTTATTTTTCAAGTTTTATTTTAGTTTCCACTTAAATATACTTCGAAAAAGTTTGGTGGTAAGGATGGTAGTTAGTTCCTATGAGGTACTTTCTACAAAATAAATATATTACTGGCTTATTTAAGTGAAATATCCTATGGATGACTTAGAAAATATTTTCAGCTTTTAATGAAAATAATTTCACATGGAAATGTCATGTAATTAGTCTTCGTCATCAAAAAAGTCTTCTCTTGACTGAGGAAGAAGAAAGGGGGCTGACATTTATGACTATAATGTAATAACCACATTCTTTTGATGACAAGTATATATTTGGTTTATTAGGCCACATTTGACTTTTTAGAGGCTATAAAAAGTATTAATTTTTAAATTTTTGTTTTAATTATTTGGTATACTAATATTATTTATGCAATCATTGTTAGATGTCAGTCGTGATGTTTAAAATTATTGGTGTTAATGGGAAAATTGACATCCGAGGGAAAGATACAGAAGTCTGTCTTCAAGTGGACCAAGTGACACCGGATCAGTTAGGCAATATCAGTCTTCGGCATTACCTTAGCAGTCGTTCAGTAGGTGAGACTTTAATATGACTTAAATTGTTGTTGTTTTATACCTATGACTCATCAGCATATAAATGAGGAAAATTACATTTACATCAGAGATTTGTTCTTTTAGGCCACCTTATCTTCATGTTGATTAAGGAATTAGAAATTTAATCTGTTGGTGATGTATTCTCCAGTATTTTTTTTGTTAATGCTATTGTAAGTTCTGTCTTTTTTAATCTTCCCATTCTTTGAGATAACGGGTCTGAGAAAACTGAGTTATTTGTATATGAAAAGAATGCTATAGTAATCCTAGAAGATCAAACTTAGTTTCATACTAAAATAAATGTCAAATGCTATGTTCTATTGCTTTGCTTATAAGCAAATATTTCCAAATACTTGGTATTTGGAAAAATCGTGAATCCTGTTTTCATTCTTTATTCTATGACCAACACCTTCCCTTGGACATAGATGGATATAAGCAACAAAATGTGCAGGGTATGAAGAGGGAACCACAGTAAACCATCCTTTTTTAGATAAAGTTTAAATGAAGTTATTATTCATGGTTTTTAGTCATTTGAACAAATGAATTTATTAGAATAGCTATACTAAGAACTTAAAATGATATTTAATTTTTAAAATATTCTTTGCTATATAAATTACATGAAAGCATTTTATTGATAGTTATACAGACTATGACAGATTAAATATGGATTTTAATGATCCGCTTTTTTAAAAATTTACCTTTATTGTTGAAAGTATTACAAATGTCCCCCTCTTTTCCCCCCATTGATCCCCTCCACCCAGCATCTGCCCCCTCCCACCAGTCCTCCTCCACACTATTGTCTGTGTCCATGAGTTATGCATATATGCATATAAGTTCTTTGATTAATCTGTCTCCTACCCCTGCTTTCCCTCTGAGATTCGTCAATCTGTTCCATGCTTCTGTGTCTCTGGATCTATTTTGTTCATCAGTTTAAAATCTTTTAAAAAGTCACTGCCCTGTAATATTTTTCTTTGCTGTATATACAGAATGCTGCAGCTATTTGATATATAACATATTGAAATACACACAGTCCTAAATGATATTCAAATAAGTGTGCTATCACTTCACATCATGGGAATTACTGGTAAATGTGCCATTTTCCTATAAACCAGCATCACTGGAAAAAATTGGCTCCTGGCTCTTTTCTGTGTGTAAGCCTTGCAAGTTTACAATGTATCTGCTAAAAAAATTTCAAGAATTTTAAATTAATTAGCAAGTGTGAATTCCAATAGTATGCAAAAAGAGGAAGCTAAGTATATAATTGGAAAGGTTTCATGGGGGGGGGGGGACTAAAAAAGGTTGAACATAAAATTTCAAAACCTAGACCATGTTCTATACCCAGCCCAACCACGTTTCAAGTTGTAGTCTTAGATTATTTCCAGTTGCACAATTATTTTTTCACTCTTTATAGCTCACTTAGTACCATGGCTTATTACTTTTTCTCATGTTGTTCCTAACTGAAGAAGTCATTTTGAAATGCCTTGTGTGTATGGGTTGTATAGTCAGTGCTTTCTCATACCTTTTATTTTCCCAACTGTCTCAATTGGTTGTTCGAAGGATTAAAACAAACAAACAAACCAAAATGAAAAAAGAGAGAGAGAAAGGAGAGGGAAAGGATAGGGAAAGGGGATAAACGGAAAAAGAGGAAAACATTAGCTTTAACATTTCAAACGTTAATAAGCATACGAACAAAGATTGTATTTGATTGCTTTCGTTTGCTTTTGTTTTTCTATAATGTGTGGATTTTGGATTCCTTCATTAGGAAGACCTTAATATAATAGTTTCATGGCAAAAGAGGTAGTAGGAAGGAGTGGTTTTTGACTACTGAGGATATTTTTAAATGTCTGCCCCAGTAAATACTCTTTTTGTTTGAAATTATTTATGGCTCTCAGCTCCCTGGAGTATGTACCTGGTGTGTACATACATGAATATGTAGATACATAGATCAGTAAAAGACACTATAAAATCACATACGCCAAGTTGTTTGTTTCTAATTGCTCTTATTTTTAAATAGACAAGTTAATTAACTCTCGTTTTTCTTGATATAGGAAAAAAACACTAACATATCTAAGTACATATTCACATCTATGCTGAGGGAAAACAAACATTTTCCATCATGGATTTAATTAGTAGGGTCTTCTTATGAGGCCCCACTGGACAGATAACTTTGATTCCTCACAATTGAAACAGCTTTGTCCTTCCAGAACAGTTATTTGTTTTTTAACTCACGGGCTTTAGGAATTGTGAATTGGGTTGTATTTTCCTCTTTGCTGCTGGAAAGCTCATATTTTGTCTACCGTGGTACATAAATTTAAATAACGTATTCTGAGTTCTTAACCTTCCGACCTAGTTTTTCCTTTTCCCTTCTTTCCTTATTTTTCTGTTGCTTGCTTATTTTTTACCTGATTATGCCATGTGCATGGTGCTCCTCTTCCACTCGGAGCTAGATAAAGTAAAATAAACAAGATAGTTACCACAAGGCCCAGTTCATTTCAGTGGTTCCACTAGAAATTAAAAAAAAAAAAAAAAAAAAAATTGGATAGTCTATGGGTGCTTTACTGAAATTTAAAAATTTGTTTTTGAATTCCAGTATTCATATCTCTGTAAGCTGCCTGAAATTTTTTTGGGAACAAGGCCAAGGCATAAATAAATGTAAATACTTAATACCCAGTTTTAATGAGGAAGGGGCAAAACTTCAGGCTTTCATTACTTCTTGAGAAATGGCTTAAGAGTCATTTTAAATGCCATGACTATTTCTTCATGACAGTTGTTCATTATGTTACAGATTTATAGGTAGGTACATTCCCAGACACACTCTTAAGTATCAGTCACCCATGGTATCAGATTTATATCATGGCGTGTTGTTTGTTACTAAAAAGTAGAAAATAGAGATAAGTAAGCATGATTGCCGTAGAAGATTGTCTATAAGATACAAACTTAGGGCTGTGTGTGGAATGTTGTATATGTACTGTAACTACCACTTAAATGAAGGGTAAATATTAAAACTTTATTCTTTTGCATTGTACAAAATGACTGTACCCTCTGATGACAAATAACTGAGAATGACGCTGGGTGTAGTGCCACAAGTTACAGTTTTTACTTCTTCGTTTCCGTAGGCTCTGATCATAAAGCTGTTGTTCATGCCAGATCCTCTCCTGAGATTTCGCTGAGGTTTGAAAGTGGGCCTGGTGCTGTCATACACTCTTTGCTTGCAGAAAAAAATGGATTTCTGCAATGCCATATAGAAAACTTTAGCACTGAATTTCTTACATCTTCTCTGACGAATATTCAACATTTTTTGGAAGATGATACTGTTGCAACAGTGATGCCAATGAAGATACAAGTTTCTAACACAAAAATAAATTTAAAGGTATGTTAATATTTTCACATTTTCATGTTTAAATGTTCACTTACTTTAATAACAACATCTGATCCTGCTCCTCTTTCCTGTAGGATGACAGTCCTCGGAGTAGTACAGTATCCCTTGAACCCGCTCCTGTAACCATTCACATTGATCATCTTGTGGTAGAGAGAAATGACGATGGCTCTTTTCATATCAGAGGTATATGTGAAAAACAGTTTAAGTGAATACCTACTGAAATTTGCAATTAAATTATTTACAAGCTGATTGTTTCTTTCCCCTCACACTTACTGCTGTATGTCTGTACATGTGTAGAAGTAGAGGACTGAGGGACACTTTCAGTACATTGTAATAAAATACTGCCTACGTATGGTTCTCTACCTCGGACATAACTCATTACAGTTGATTTAGTACCTGTTCTACAAGTGTGTTTTGAATGAAAGTGAGAGAGGTTTTGTGGTCTTACATGACTCTTGATCTTACTTGGGGCTCCTTCTGGATCTCTTTCTTAGCTTTATTTCTCACTCTTTTATATTTACTCAGCCACCCCGTTGCCCTCCCTGTCTTGGAATTTGTCTCCCACTTTCCTGTCTGTAATCGTACTTGCTTGTTACTCCTCCATTGAACTGTTCATTCCCCTCCAAGGGTATCTCTAGCGTCCCCTTTTCAGCGAACTCAGTTACGTACAGTATATTGCTGTTTGTTTGGTTCTGCTTTAATGTTTATTATCCATTGTAGCAAGATTTTTAAGGTCTTTAATGTAAGATTATATCTTTAAGGTAGTGTGGAATAGTGGAAAGAGCTTGAGTCCGTAGACTTAGGTGTCTTTTTCCTCAGTTTGTTAGTAGCTATTTGAGGGTGAAATGTGATGACTGATATATGCATTTATTCATTTCCTACCAAAATCTCATCAGATGACATAAAACATGTTAACAGAATAAAGTTATAATAGTACTGCAAAAGAAAAATAAGTACCATTAGTGAATCAGAAGTTCTTAAGCAAGCAAACCAGAGAGAGAGAGAACGTGAGAAGTATTTGTAGCCATAAGCCCACAAAAGATGGGACTGTTGCTGGGGTAGGAGCACTTTGTGGGGAACTGTTAACCGAAGAGTATTCCCCTCTGGAGTTTGGGGCCAACTAGAGCAAACATAGAAGTCAGACCAACTGCCCGGCCGGGCGTGGCTCAGTGGTTGAGCATCGACTTAGGATCCAGGCGATCGGGGTTCGATTCCTGGTCAGGGCACATGCCCAGGTTGCGGGCTCCATCCCCAATGACTCTCTCATCATTGGTGTTTCTCTCTCTCTCTCCCTCTGCTGCCCTCTCTCTGAAATCAATAAAGATATATTAAAAAAAAGAAAAGAAAAAAAAGAAAGTCAGACCAACAAAGATTAAAATGTCAGCTTCATTATTGTTAAAAGTTTAGGTAGCGAACAACATACTTTAAGCATAAACAAGTATGCTTTGTTTTATATAGAGTTCTCATGTTTCTTTCCAGTGTATTCTTTTAAAAAAATATATATATATTTTTATTGATTTCAGAGAGAGGAAGGGAGAGGGAGAGAGAAAGACAGAAATATCAATGATGAGAGGCACTGATCAAGCCTGCAACCCGGGCATATGCCCTGACCAGGAATCGAACCCCAATCGCCTGGATCCCAGGTCGACACTCAACTGCTGAGCCACGCCCGGCCCGGCCCAGTGTATTTTTAAAAATAGTGTCATGAGCCTTGGCCTACGTGCTCAGTGGCTAGAGTGTCGGCCTGTGTACCCAAGGGTCATGGTTTAACCCCCTGGCCCTGTCAGGGCTGGTACAGGAGGCAACCAGTCCATGTGTCTCTCTCTCTCCTCATCTCCTGCCTTCCTCTTCCTCCCTTTCACCCTCCCTCTAAAACGCAGTGGAAAAAATATCCTCGGGTAAGGATTAAAGGAAAACCAGTGTCAGGAAGCATTTTATGTTATGTTATTTTTCTTGTGTGTAAATTCATTGTATTAAGGTCTTCAGTGTATAAAGTGTATGATGTAACATATAGCCTAATGTACCACATACGCTAGTATGATCATATATCATAAATATGACTCAAACTAATGCATCAGTCATGATAAACAAGTAGTTAACTTTATTTGCTTTTGAGAATTTAGAAGAGCTTTTGGTGAATGCTTTGAATGGCCCAAATTTCTCAAGTAGCTTGTTAAGAAATTTCGAGATAAGCTGTTTTTTTCCTCCTTTGAAGCAAATTTATTTAGCAAGCAGGAGCATTCAAACTAATCTCATTAGTAGCTATTTCAAAAATTAGTTGTAGGTGTTTATTGCTATGATAATGGCAGTTTGTCTAATATTTCTCTTCACTCCTTCCTGTTTTTTTTAGTGTGTTCAAAGGTATACTTGCAGCTGTTCTGGATGTGATTAAAGTCCATCATGGAAGAATAGGTGCTTTTATACCTCTTTTTCTGCTTTTCATACTACTCCACACTTCTTCGGAGAGTCTTAAAAACAATTACCAATTTCTTAGAAAAGACTTTAAAGAGAAACGTCAAATAATTTTTCAGAAAATTAGAAAACTACACTGCAATTTCTTGTTCCTGTGAAATATGGCTAATCAGATAACTTTTTTTTTTTTTTTTTTGGTAAATCCTCACCAGAAGGTATTTTTTCCATTGCTTTTTAGAGAGAATGGAAGGGGGAGAGAGAAGATAGAAACATTGATGTGAGAGAGACATATCGATTGGTTGCCTCCTGCACACACCCCAATCAGGGCTGGGGATCAGACCTGCAACCAAGGTACATGCCCTTGGCCTGAATTGAACCCTGGACCCTTCATTCCACGGGCCAATGCTCTAACCACTGAGCAAAACCGGCTAGGACTAATCAACTAGTATTTTGGAGTGCTGTTAGTCTATTGAGGTTATTCCCTTCTGGGAATCTTTGTTACGGGGTGGAAATTATGTTAAGCAGTTGCTGCTCTTTCATTTACATAATCTAATATGATTTAGTGAACTGCCCTTCTCTCATTCCATGGGATTTTTGTGGACCAGGCTATCATATGACTACCACAAAAGCGGGAATAGGACCCAGCTGGGCCAATCAAGAGATTTCAGCCCTTGGGACATAGTTACTGGTAAATGATTTGACTGTGACCCAAGCATTCTGAGTCTTTTTTGTGAATTGAGAAGGAGACTGAGAGAGAAGGGGTCATAGGCAGTGAAACAAACTTGTTTCACAGTGGTTACCTTTAACATCAGATGACTGAACCAACACAGAGGAAAATAAAAGTGGACCTAAGAAGTAGAGTCAGCTTCCTAAAATTATACTCCCGAGGACATTATATGAATCCTAGTATCTAGCCATGCATGAAGCATCATCATTTGGATTCCTGTTATGGAAACAAATATATTTTCTTTTTAAAAAGCAAGTTTGTGTTGGGCTTTTGTTTACTTGCAACCTAAAGTGCTCTGTGATCCAAAAAGTAAGAACAAAATGTTGATGTATAAAGATATCCCCTGCCTTGTTTTTTATATTTGTTTTTAATAAAAACATTTTTGAGATATAATTCAAATGCCTGCTATTCACACAGCATACAATTTAGTGATATTTAATATGCTCACAATGGTGCCGCCATCATCACAATCAGTTGTAGAACATTTTCATTACCCTCAAAAATCCCCCTACCCACTAGCAGTCTCTCCCCATTCCCCAGGAAGCCCTCGGCAGTCACTGATTTGCTATCCTTCTGTGGAACTTGCCTATTCTAGACGTTTCATATAAGTGGAATCGCACAATGCCTTTCGGGACTAGTTTCTTTCACTTGGCATACTTTCAGGATTCATTCATGCTGCACGCGTCAGCACCTCATTTCTTGAGGGGGTAGTTGTTTGATTTCTGATTCAGTCTCTTTACCTGCTCCCTGTTTATTCACACTGTCTCTCTTCTTTAGTCTGTTTTGGTAGTTTGCCTTCCTGGGAATTTTTCTCTTTCATCTGAGTTATCTAACTTACTGGAATACAGTAGTTCATAGTATTCCTTTATAATCAGTTTTATTTCATTAAGGTTGATAATAATGTCCCATGTTTCATTTCTGGTTCTAATACTTTTCTTTTGTCAATGTAACTAAAGTTTTATCAATTTTGTTCATCTTTTCAATGAATGAGCTTTTGGTTTTATTGACTTTCTCTATTTTTCTATTTCATAATAGTGTCTTCATACTAATAGAGGCATACTCATTTTTAAATTAGTTTTTCACAGTAGAAGTTAAGATTTATCAAGTGTATGAAAATGTTATCTGAGCGTTTTATTTGTTTGATCAGATTCTCAGATGTTTAACACTGGAAATCATCTGAAAGGAAATGTCACAAGTGAATCAGTGCTGCTTCCCAGTGGAAAGTATGATCTGAAGAAACAGCACAGTGTCACTCAAGCCACTCAGACAAGTCCCAAGGTTCCTTGGCCTTCTCAGTCAGTTCCCTTTCCTGAGTGCTCCTTTGACGTCACTAGGGAACAGGTACTGGGGAAAATGAATTCATTCTCATTCCATTTCAGCAATTAAAATAAATGTTAGATACTAAATAATTTAAATTATTTACTTATTTAAGTAATGTTTTTCGAGTGCCTCTTATGAACCCCCACACTGTGTTAGATGCTGTGGACATAGTGTTGAGCAAGATGGGGGCAGGCTCAGCCTTCAGAGAGGTTGCAGTCTAATGGGAAGTAGAGGAGTAAGTGGGAGAGTGCTGGCTTCTCGAATCCAGGAGCACTTCCTGGAGGACATACTCATTTTGATGTCTTATTTTTAAGTTGCAAAAGTATTGTAATATTTCAGAAATATGTTTAAAACAACTTTAATACATTCTAACCTTCTGCAGTGCTATTAGTACTACTTTATTTTCCTCTCAGGCTCTTTTCCATGATTTTCCTAAACAGTTGTTATTCTGATGTATATACTTTATTTTTTAAATTAACATTGTTTAACAGTTATTTTTTCCTATTGCTACATATGCTTCATATTTATTTTTAATGGCAGAGTAATACGAATGTGGATGTACTGCCATTTCTAAACTTTAACATTTGTTAACATTTGAGTTGCTTCTTATTTTTTGCTATTATAAATAAGTAAAATATCCAGCAGAAGTTTCCCTATGATAGAGCCACAGAATGAGTTCATTCATCTGTTCAACAGAGTTTGTTGGACATCAGCTCTGAGCTAGGGTGTGGAACTGAACAGTATTCCACCCTTATCTGTTAAGAAACTTGGAGTCCAGTGGGGAAGACGGGTGTGCAGATGCGTTAGCACATACTGTATAAAGCCATCCTGGGGACTGAGGAAGTTCAGGAAAGGACCCAGCTTGGTTTATAAGGCAGGAATTCTTAAGCTGGGACTAGAGGAAGTCTGAGAACTTTTTGAAATTAAATGCATCTATTTTAATGTATCTGTAAATGCATTTTTTGGGGAGAAAGTACTTAGTTTTATCAAATCTTCATAGTTAAGGGTTAGGGAGTACTTCTAAGAGGAAAGATACTTGAACTGAGTCTTAATGAGAAGGGGAGACCTAGTGGCCATCTAGATAAAAAATGTCTAATGAGATATTCAGAACATGGGCCTGAAGCTCCAGAGCAATTGATGCTGGATCAGGCAGGCTATGTGTGATAGTTGGAGCCACAGGAGTACATGAGATCACCCAGAGAGTGACTCAGTGATAGGAAGATGGCCAATTATGGAATCTAATAGGACATTAAGATGTAAGGGCTCTTGAATAGCAGAGGCAGAGATGAGAAGTCCGCATGTGGAGAGGGATAAACACACGAGCTGTGGTGCAAGAGGCAGAAAGGAGAGACACGTAGGAAGGAGGGGTGTCAGCAGTGTCCACAGCCACGGAGTGATCCAGGGAAATTAAAATCAGACTGAATCACTGTGAGATTTCGAAAGGAGGAGTTAATGTTTTGAATTGCTGAGTCAAAACTCATGAACATTTTTAAGGGTTTGAACTGTGTTTCCAAATAGCTTCTCCCATAAGTGCAACCTCACCCGCATTGGGTATTTTTCTGTTCCAAGTGTCACACCTTTAGCTGATATGTAAATTGTCTGTATTTTCTGAAAATGATTAAATTCTCGGACCTTTCAAATGTATCCTTTCAGCTCCTGGAAGAGAATGAGTCTCTTAAGCAGGAATTGGCTAAAGCCAAGATGGCCCTTGCAGAGGCGCAGCTGGAGAAAGATGCTCTTCTTCATCACATCAAGAAGGTGACTGCTGAGCAGCAGGGTTGGCGGGCAGAGCTCCGATTGTAGCTCCGGAGGAGGGAGGCTGAATTTCCAGTGGGATGTTACCAGTGAGCGTGAGAATTTCTTTGTCATGGAAAGACAATAAAATGAAATGGAATGTGACGAAGAGTGACTGTTCCAGAGTCAGCTTAGGAAGTGTTAGGTACGGGCATTACAGTCTTCCGGTGGTTTTGTGTTTGGGGTTTAACCCTCTTTTAAGCTGGTGTGATATAGGGAAGTCAATATATACTGTAAAGTAATTACTCGCCTAATGAAAAGATGTCATTTCCTAATTTTGATATCATACTATAGGGATTTTTTAAAGAGAAAAATGAAAACCTGTTGTGTTCCACAGATTGCTGAATTTATCACTATCTGTTAATGATTACTATTATTTACAAAGATTCAAATGCTTTTAGGGCCAATGTAAAATAAAAGGCGTACATTTTAAATGAGATTAAAATAATGTACTTAAATCTATAATTATTTAATTACTGTAAAAAGTCCGATCAGATTAATAAATTATATAATTACTGGGTTTGAAAATTCTGGAAAATCATCACCCTACTGAACTTCCAAAGTAACCTGGAAATGTGGGGGGAAAAATCATTTTAAATGATGGGTGGAAACTGTATAAGTTGAGGCTATAATTTTCAACAAAAGGATGGTACAAGTGTAAAAATAAAAAGCACAAACTGTAAAAAAGCAAAACATTAGTGTATATGGCCAACTGACTTAAAAAGCATTATTTGTACATTCCTTAAAACATTTATTGTTAGAAGTAAGAGTAATTTAACTTCCTGCTAAGTTTGGCAGCATTTATAACTGTAAGAATTTTAATTAATACTATTTATATTATTTCTTTACCTTTATCTTTTCTCTACTTAAGGAAGGGAATGTTTTCAGAGAATTTTCTTTATACATACAAAAAACAATTTCATACCATTCTTGTAGTATCAGATTAGGTGGATGTTTGCACATACCCAATTTATATAGCTAGTTTTGATTAAAGTTCTTTGTGACATATGTACTGTCTTCTATAGTAAGAATAATTGGTAAATTTTGAATTCTATTTTCTAGGAATCTTGAGGTTGAAGCCAACCTGAGATAGAATCTCAGTCATACATTGTGAAACAAAAGTTTATGAATGTTTATGCAAGAGAGGCTTTTAAAGATTTTTAAAATATATTTCTGATAAAATTAAATGAAGTGGAGGTTCTATTTTAAAATTCACATTCTTAAACATAAATATATCCAAGATAGAACATGAAACAGCTAGACTACTTTTTCTTTAAGATACTTGAAAATTTTAGACCACATGGTGACACTTTATGGTGCTTTGCTTGTTGGCCTCATGTAGCCATCCCTCTATCTGAGTACTTGGAGGAGAAGTCATGTTTCATTTACTTAAGTGTTGGAGTGACTTAGCTTTTATTGAAAACAGTACTGGCCTTTGTTTTTTCTTCTTCTATAACATCCATTTGCATTGTCATGACTTTAAAATACAGGTCTTGTTTTGGGAGCTGAGGAAAAAGCAACGAACAAATTTAAATCGTTAATATTTTACCTCAACAGTATTTAAAAATGATGTTTAACCATGTTAATCTAAAACTATGTAATAGTCTTAACTTAAAAGCAAAGGTCTAATTAAAGATTTAAAGTGAATAGTTAATATCCTTTGAGGAGTATTTTTTTTAAGTAAGCGAGGTGAACATTTTCTTTTTTTTTTAAATTTATCTTTATTATTGAAAGTATTACAGGTGTCCCATTCCCCCCCCCCAATTGACGCCCTCCACCTCGCTCCCACCCCCTCCCCAGGCCTTCACCCCGTTATCGACTATGTCCATGAGTTATGCTTATATGTATATAACTTCTTTGGTTAATATCTTCCCATCCTCCACCCTCCTTTCCTCTTTTTGAGGAGTATTTTTGATTTGTAGGTGTATGGTCAGTAAATGCAGTCTCACATAGAAAAGCAGGTTTGATGGGACATTAACCTCTGCAGAGCTGACAGTGTTGCTCAGGATTATCCTGTTTGCTCTATAGAAATTTTAAACTTAGGGTATATTATAACCATTTAGTGTTATGGAGCCCAATGTTTTTCTTAATCCTTTTCATTGGCCCTCTTAAAATCATACAAACAGTAGAGATGATAATTAATGTGGATCTGAACATTCTGTATGCTTTTGTTGAATTTTTAAAAAATTTATAGTGAGTGCTGTTTTTATAGAGATTTAAAATTCACTATTTCATGTAATTCCCACAAGAAAACCTGGGAAGTAGGTATTCATAAGTTAGATAAAAACCCTAAGGTTCAGAAAGGACAAGAGACTTGACTGAAGTCACAATTAATAACCTGGTCTTCTGACTTGAATCCCAGTTAAATGCTTTTATTTTACTTTAGTCATTAATTCACAGATTTTGCCAGGGGTGGGGAGAACCACTGTGTTTTATTTGTTTTCCTTTTAAAGATAAATATAATACTTTTAATAGTGTGTGTGTGTGTGAGAGAGAGAGAGACAGAGAGAGAGAGATGTATTATTCAAACTACTTACAAGATGGTGTGAGGATTCCTCATTGATTAAGTGAATCTCAACCTTTTTGGTGGTGTGAGAAATATAGGAATAAACCTTTAATAAACTTACCAGAGTTCTTAAGAAAATTATCACATATTAGAAATAAAGTTGCCATATCTTGAAAAAATTTTTTTTCTAAATCTCTAGCAATGATGTTAGTGACCAGGGTAAGGAAATGGAAATTGTGTTTTGCATTTTAATTTCGTGTATGTCAAAAACATTTTCTTGGTGTCTTGTATTTTTTTTTTCTTTTCTCATTTTATACTAGAATTTCAAAAGACCACCTTGTGACACTAGTTGTGATTATTATTATTATTAATCCTCACTGGAAGAAATGCTTATTGATTTGAGAGAGAGGGGAAGAGAGAGGTAGAGAGAGAAACATGGATGTGAGAGAGAAACATCGATCGATTACCTTCCTGCCGTGCCCCTACCAGGGATTGAACCCACAACCTAGATATGTGCCCTGACTGGGAATCAAACCCTCAACCTTTTGGTGTATGAGATGATGCTCCAATCAATTGAGCCACACTGGCCAGAGCTGAAGTGTTATTTATTTATTTATTTATTTATTTTTTATTTATCTTTATTGTTGAAAGTATTACAGGTGTCCCATTC